CTGAGGTTCATGTCGAGTTGCAGGTGGAGGGACAAACCAAGGCAGCGGGAATTTGGATTTTCTCCTTCCTGAGGGGTGTTTTGGAGGAACATTAAGCTCCTTCTCACCGCTTTTGTCCTGGGTGGGTGTCCAGGTGTGGTCAGGACAGGTCTGAATCCTCCTGGGAAGGGTGGTGGTGGTGCTGATACTGGTGGGATGACGCTGGTTGGACACCAGGTGCCCACTCTGGCACGATAGGCCCACCCTGAGCAGCCCCAAGATGCAATCAAGCTGTTAATCAAGCTAATAATAAATAATAAATAATTCATTTTACATTATTCATATTCCTACAAATGCATTATATTATATAATGATGTGTTGGATTATTTTAGCATATCAATTTATAGTTGCACGAATTGTTTACATTTAAGACAAAATTTAATTTGCCATCAACAAAACCTAAAATTATTAATAATTTCATCTATTTAATTTACTTCTGGAACATTTAAATATTTCCAATAATATTACTTCTAGAATCACAGATATTTGTATTTTATTTATAATAACTATTTAGTGTATTTATATACAGAATTTTTATATTATTTATATATTATATTATTTATATATTATATTATTTATATATATTTTATTTATTATTTTCAAATATTTATAAATATATTCTTATATGTTATTTTTATATTATTATATTTTTATTGTAATATTTAATTTATTGATTTATATTATTATTCCCTTAGACTCATATTGTAATCCCTGACTTAAACGTGGGCTAAGTCTGGGGGTTGTCCTTTTCCTTCCTTTAGTGGGGACACCCCAGAGCAAACCCCTCACCCTGAAGGTCCCCAAACTCCCCCCATCTTCCTCCCACCCTTTTTTTCCCTCCTAATTCCAGCTCCTCCACCTTTCCCCTCCTTCTCCCTCTCCCCCCCTCACCCCCTGGTTGTCCCATCCCCAATTAACCACCAGCAGCACCGAGGCCTCACCAAAAAAACATTTATTTGTGAAAATCCACGTGGACAAACCCGACAAGAGACAGATTTTGGAAGCTTTTTTCTCCCGTGGAGATGCTGCAATGGGCAGAACTTCCCCCAAAACCTCCTTCCAGTGGCTCCCACAGAGCAAATTCCAACCTCCTTGAGAGACCCCCCATCCCGTCCTGTCCTCTCACAACCCCCCTGGATCCCTTTGGGGATGGAAATTTGAAGTTGCACAGGATCAGGACCTGTTTTGGGATGGAAATTTGAGGTTGCACAGGATCAGGACCTGTTTTAGGATGGAAATTTGAGGTTGCACAGGCTCAGGATCCCTTTTGGGATGGAAAATTTGAAGGGCAGAGACATCCCAGAGTGATCCCTCCCGCTCAGCTGCTCTGGGATCTCCTTGTCCCTCTCCTGGACAGTTTAATCCATGACTGTGATTTCTCTTCCAGCCAGAGGTGGGATTTGGGGTGGATAAACCACAGCAAAAGGGTCTATTTGCATTATTAGGACGGGATTAATTATTCAGCTGGAAACAGGTTTTTTGGAGGGGCAGGATGGGAGATTTATGACAAACCCCAGAATGAAACAACCAGCTTGGGTCAATTCCTGAAGGCTGAAAGGTTGGGTTTATTTAAATAATAATAATTATTATTATTATTTTAATGAGAAATAAACTCCAGGAGCTCCTGGGCTGGGCTTTGGGGTTGCGTGACCTCACGCAGGAGGGCTCTGGCAAGGACACAGCGAGATAAAACCAAACCAAATCCACGAAATCCCTGTGGAAAAGCTCCGTAAACAACGGATACTCCCCTTCCACCCCCGCGGGCAGACGGGGAGGGGCAGCAAAATAAAAATAACAATCGAGAGAAGAGGCGGGTGGGGCAGGGTTTTTTGGGTGTTTTTCCGTGTCCACCGGCAATCCTGTGAGGAATTCCAAACAATGGGAATCCGAATTCCAAACAATGGGAATCCCGTGCTCGGCTTCCAGTCCCGAAGCTGCTGGATTTCTCCGACAAAACACGCAGGACAGGCTGTGGGTTGTTTTTTTGCTGGTGGGGGGTAAAAGGTTACACCTGAAATGGGCATTTGCTGCTCTGTGATCCTGATAAGTGGGAAGAGCAATTCCAGGGCGCAAAGCTGAGCTTGTAATCAGTGATTTAGGTGGCTTCAGGCTGGGATTTGGGGTTTAGAGAGGTGGGTTTGGATGTCCCATCCCGAAGTCTGGGAAGGGGCATCTTGGTTTAGGCTTTTCAGTCTTCAAAAGACTTTTCTATGGGTTTGCTTTGTTGGTTTTTTTTCATGCACAGAACATCCCAAGGGTGGTGGAAACGTTGCCTGGGGATGTTCCAAGGGTTGGAGCCAGGCTGGGAGAGCTGGGGAGGAGAGAAGGAGCCAGAGAAAACCTGAGAGCCCCTTGCAGGGCCTGAAGGGGCTCCAGGAGAGCTGGAGAGGGACTGGGGACAAGGGATGGAGGGACAGGACACAGGGAATGGCTTCCCACTGCCAGAGGGCAGGGAGAGATGGGATATTGGGAAGGAATTCTTGGCTGGGAGAGTGGGGAGGAGCTGGGCTGGAATTCCCAGAGGAGCTGTGGCTGCCCCTGGATTCCTGGGAGTGTCCAAGGCCAGGCTAGAGCAACCTGGGCTGGTGGAAGGTGTCCCTGCCCATGGCAGGGGGTGGAGTGGGATGGGCTTTGGGGTCCCTTCCAACCCAAATCATTCCATGTTTGCCACACAAGTGGACATGGACCAAACATCCTTTCTTGGGATGGCCAAGATCCTAAAAGTGAAAAGATCCTTGTCCCTGTTCCTGCCTCCACCAGCAAACAACTTGGCACTTGGAGGGGTAGAAAGGAAGACCCTGGTTTGGGTGTTGTACCCATTTCCACACGACGTTTTGGTTTCCTTACACTGATCTCCAGCTCTTGGGCCACATTCCCATCATCCTGGTCAGGCTCCACTGGGACCATCAACGCTATTTACAACAGGTGGGAATTTTTCCCGCTGTGTTTCGAGGGGTACAAGGTGCCCACGAGGGATTTCAGGCTGTGAATTGTCTGTTTGAATCCAATCTCCCCTCGCTCCCTGGGGGTGTCTGTGAGAGGACACTTGTCATCTCCTGATCATCTCAAACATCATCCTTGGGGCGTAAAACACGGAGGCCAAAAGGGCAGGGTGGTTATAAATATCTAAATATGCACATACAGAGAGATATTTATGGGGTTTTTCCATCAATTCGGACTTTTGGAGGATCAAAATCTGACACAAACTCTTGTTGAGGGGGTGTTGAGCCGATCTCCACTTGTTTTATCCACCTTTCTGGACCATGTGGAGATATTTGGTGTTATTAAACTGTGAATTTGGGTTGGCAGCTGGAAATAAATCAGATTTTGGCTCTGGCTTTGTAGCACCTTCTCATGTATTGGCTCCTGTGGAGTGGGTGGGAAAGGTTTCCTCGTCCATCCCTGGAGTTAAACCCTTGGAAGCTTCAACTGCCGCTCCTGGGACTGGTGGAGTTATGGAAAACCCCCCAGGTGGGGTCCTGCCATTCCCCTTCTCCAGGATCCCGGATTTTGGGAGGCAGAGACACGGGAATGTGTCTTAAGGCGACAAGAATTAAGAATTTAAGGAGGGAAAGTGTATTCCAGGAGCAGGCTGTGGTTGGGAAGAGGGGGAAGAGCTCTTCCTCTAAGGGCACTTGGCAGGATTTGGGATAAAAAAAGGATCATTCCTGTCAATCCCCTTTTGTTGCTCCTGGATTTGCCCATTCATTGAATTCCTGCTGGAATAATTCCTTAAATATGTGGGTGTTCATCTCCAAGAGCCATCGTGGCTGGGATTTATCCAGGACTGCCTCTTCCAACAGCCAGATTGAAGCCTGAGGAGCTGAAAAGCCCCCAAAGTCATTCCTTTTTTATTCCCAGGGACCTCTGGGTGCTCAGCAGGGTCTGATGTTCAGCTGCTCAAAAATAACCTTTCCTTGCCTTGGGTGTCTCTCCACTGTTCATCTCTCATTCCTTCAGTGAATCCATTGAGGAGCCTGATTTTTACACCAAAAATTAGGGATTGGACCATCAACCAGGAGCAAATTACCCCCAAATTGCCCCCAAACTTGTGGGTTTGTCCCCAACAAGCCACATTTGTCCACGTCTCATTTTGTTTGTTTTTTTTCTCCCCTCTCCGAGGGTTTGTTCATCCATTTGATGACCAGAGGAGCCCTTGAGCAGCCCCAGGGGAAAATTATCCATCTGAGCAGGACTAAAATACTCCATATATCCATGCACACATCATAAACTTCATGTTTTCTGCAACAGGAAAAAAAACACAAAAAAACACAAACCAATTCCCTGATTAAATGAAATCCAGAAGGGGGAAGCGAATCATTTCACCCTCCTCTGAATAAAAGGAGGCTGCAAAGTTCTTCATCTCCCTTCAAACCATTTTTTTTGTGATGGGATCCGTTTCCAGGGTGTGAAAAACATTTCAGTGTGGTCCCTCCTTTTCCAGAGCTCCACAGGATTCCAGGAGCTGCCCAAGGAGCGTCACCTTGGGCTTTCTAGGAAGTCACAGTGATCGTTTTTTTTTTGGCACATGTGGTTGATTAAGAGCAACCAAAGCCTGGCTTAGGTCAGGAATCCTTTGGGAGAGCCCTGTGGTTGGAGAGGCAGCGGGAAGACCATCCATGAGGGTGCTGGAGAAGAGCCAAGACCACGTGGAAAATCCTGGATCCGACTGAAGCTCCAGCTGGTTGGTGATTCCCAATGGATGTCCAGGCTCCTGATGTCGAGAGCAACATTTTTGCTGGATTTTGGGACTAAATATCCCCCCGGATATCCAACTGGGGAGTGACAGGAAGAACGAAATTAAGGGTGGGAAGAGGGAAAGCGCAGCACAGGCTCATTTTCCAGAGGCGTGGGAAGCACTGGGAGACCCTTGCTGAGAACAAGGGAAGCTCCTGCCAAGCTGCAATCACAGGTTTGGAGGAAAAGCCAGCTCTGTCCCGTTCCTGCACCCTCTCCACATGGAACTAATCCAAAGTTTCCCCCGCTGGGCTCGCCCGGGCACGGCGAGCGGGAGACGACGAAACACCACGGAAAACACCAGCACATCACAAACCAGGGCCGTGGAGGGGAGCCCTGGAGCGTCCCAGCGAGGGCAGGGGGTGCTGCTGGAGCCGGAGAGCCCCTCAGGTGAGGGTGTTGGAGTAGAAGCTGAAGCTCTCGGAGACGGTTTTGGAGTCGCTGCGGGAGGAGCCGTTGGAGGTGCCGTCTATGGAGAGGCGCTTGGCCCTGCTGGGCTCCTCCAGCTCCTCCTCCGCCACCCCCACGGCCAGGGACACGGTGGTCTCCATCCTGCTGGCCTTGTAGACGCTGCTCTGGGTCTGCAGGTACCGGGCTGACTTCAGCTCCAGCCCCTCGTACTCGCCCGCGCTGACCAGGGGGCACCAGCGGAAGGCGTGTTTGAAGCCCACGCGGAACCTGCGGGGGGGAAAATCGGGGGTGAGGGGTCTGGGGAGGGCAAAGGGGTCTCACTGGGGGTCTCACTGGGGATGGGGAGGCAGGGCTGGGAACAACTAGAATGCTGCTTTTTTGCTGAAGGGGGGAAATCCGCTGATAAAGCCCCATTTCAGAGTGTCACAGTTGGAAGGGAAGGACGCACAAGGATCATCGACCCAACACAGGACCATTCACAAGAGTCACATCCTGTCCCTGAGAGCATTGCCTAAATGCTCCTGGAGCTCTGGCAACCTTGGGGTCATGGCCAAACCCTGGGGAGCCTGTTCAGTGCC